TCTCTCTCTCTCTCTCTCTCTCTCTCTCTCTCTCTCTCTCTCTCTCTCTCTCTCTCTCTCTCTCTCTCTCTCTCTGCACAGATGGGCATTCTTTGTTGCGTCGTAACCGTGTATAGAATTTTGTTGTCGCTGTCACGGATGTCATCTTCAACATCGAAACAACAACTACGACGTTGAATGTGACATCCATCGCCTCGACACACGGTTGGTCTCTCTCTCTCTCTCTCTCTCCCTCTCTCTCTCTCTCTCTCTCTCTCTCTCTTTTTGTGCATCATGATGGCAACTGTTGGGCTGCAACAACGGTCAGTGTCTCTTCAACTTCTGAACTTCGAAATCAGTGATACGACACCGACCTTTTTTCTTTCTTTTTTTCCATGTCGTTTTTTTTTTGTTGATTTTCCGATATCCGTTCTCTTTCTTTTGTAATGAACTTATATTATTATTTCGTTTTTGTTCATTCTCTTGAATAAAACGTAGTTGTATCTGCAGCGAGGTTCACGCCACCTACACCTAATGCGACTTCAGATGGCGTACAGTCTCTCTCTCTCTCTCTCTCTCTCTCTCTCTCTCTCTCTCTCTCTCTCTCTCTCTCTCTCTCTCTCTCAAAAGATCGTCTCTACGCTGCAGGTGGGGGGGGGGGAATCGATTGTGGGAGTTGTGGTTGTTGCTTTTGGTGCAGCTTTTCTTCACCTGCCGACCTGCGATCACACCGCCACGTGTGCCACGCTATGTGTGATCGACAGATTGCGCGCGCGCGCGCGCGCGCGAGAGAGAGAGAGAGAGAGAGAGAGAGAGAGAGAGAGAGAGAGTACGTGGAGAGAAAGAGAGAGAGACTATACGTGGAGAGAGAGGGAGAGAGAGAGTACGTGGAGAGAAAGAGAGAGAGACTATACGTGGAGAGAGAGAGAGAGAGAGAGAGAGAGAGAGAGAGAGAGAGAGAGAGAGAGAGAGAGAGATGGTGGAGAGTGGCAGCGGACATCGGAAGGAAGGGGAAAGGGGGAGCACGTTCGCGGGGCCTGATGCCAAAAGGGACCCGACATGCGACAGGGGGACTGCGGATGCATACTACTGTGTTCCCATCTTATCGAGATGGGAGTACAAGTTACAGATGAGAGTGGAGAAAGAGCGGTGTGTGAAGGAGGAGAAATATAAGGAGTTGGGAAAAGGAGGCAAACAATGTGTTGCAATTGGAAAAAGTGATACGCTGCAATTGCAAGTGGAGGCACATCATGAGAGAAAGGAGGTGCGAGGGTTACCGATATCAGAGATTGAGAAAAAGGTTTGGGAGGCTATGTAGTTGGCGCGCATATTGGAATAGCGGAGATCGGCTACACCGAATTGAACACAGAGAGAGAGAGAGAGAGAGAGAGAGAGAGAGAGAGAGAGAGAGAGAGAGAGAGAGAGAGAGAGAGAGAGAGAGAGAGAGATACCCAGTCGATCGTGCGCAGATAGGAAGCACGAGATAAGAAACGACGACGCGTGACAAACAGACTATTTCCTCGGAGTTTATCCTTGTCATGAAGGAGACTGAGCCCTGTACAGTCTGGCCTTGCACATATACGTTGAACCAACTATGCTGATATGTAACATTTACGTGTATATAAAGCATACATAAATAGGTATATAAAGATATATATATATGTATGTATATAAACATAGGTTTATAAACAATGGTCTGCAACAACGAGTTTTTTTTAAATCCACTCACACCGGGTGACGAACAAGGTGAAGGTGATGGGGGTGATGAGTAGGGTGTGTACTTTTTCGTAAGGTTTCGTTTTCCGCTTCTTCTCTTACTTCGTCTTCTTCATCTTTTTCGTCATTGTTCTTCTTCTTTATCACAAACTTCGTAATTTCAGTGATTTGCGACATTA